TATGCACCCTATGTTCATTGAAGCATTATTCACAGTGGCCAAGACATGGAAACAACCAAAGTGTCCTGGGATAGAGGACTGGATAAAGAAGATGTGGTACATATACACAATGGAATACTACTCAGCCATAAGAAAGGATGAAATAGCACCATTTGCAACAACATGGATGGACCTTGAGAACATTATGCTAAGTGAAATAAGTCAGTTAGAAAAAGCTAAGAACCATATGCTTTCACTCATATGTGGGATATAAAACTGAAATTCATGAACACAAACAGCAGTGTGGTGGTTGCCAGAGGGAAGGGGGTGAGAGGAGAAGGGGGTACTAACATATGGGGACAGGAGAAGATTTGACTTTGGTGGTGGACACATGGTGCAATATACAGGTCTTGTAACATAGAAACCCACACCTGAAACCCATATGTTCATGTTGACCAATGTCATCCCAATCAATTTAATAAAAAATAAAATAAAATAAAAATAAAAATGGAAGATTTTTATAGGAAGAAGGGTAGGGTAAGAGGGCTATGAACAAAAACAAAAAAAGAGCCCTAGCTGGTTTGGCTCAGTGGATAGAGCATCGGAGTGTGAACTGAGGGTCCCGGGTTTGATTCCCGGTCAAGGGCACATGCCTGGGTTGCAGGCTCCATCTGCAGTAGGGGGTATGCAGGAGGCAGCCAATCAATGATTCTCTCTCATCATTGATGTTTCTATCTCTCTCTCCCTCTCCCATTCTCTCTGAAATCAATAAAAAAATATTTTTTTTTAAAAAAAGAAAGGATTATTTTTAGACCATGACATCTTTTAGGAGGAAGGAAATGGTGAGGATTTTTATCATGGGGGTTTGTGACCATATCCCCTTTTCTTAACCAGACAAATATAGTTCTGCCAAAGTTAGTGAACCTGAATCATGGAAAGCCTCTTGGTAGGTAATTTCTAGGGGCACAGTTCGATCATCTAAGAGGCATTGCCCAGCTGTGCATCAGCAGTCTATGCATCCTGTCTAACCCCTACAGACAGGAATATTTCCTGTTGGGCACATTTGTCCACTCAAAGCAAGGAGTAGTTAGGTTTTCTCCTAGCCTGAAATAAAAAGTTGCTCTAAATTCCAGAGGTTACCCCCCTTAGCAATGGTGTGGGAGCTATAGATGATGGCATTATCTTTGCAGGCCAATGCCAGAGTAAAGGAAAGAAAGGAAAGAAAGGGTTCATGTTTAGCTAAAGTAGAAAGCCTTGATCCAGTGTTGAAGGTGGAGTAGTCGACATCGATGTTGGCTACTTCTCTTCTAAGTAATTTGACTTTAAGATCTCCAGTGTTTGTGCAGGACCAGCTGTCAGGTGGGGTCTTCTTCAGTCACGAGATATATTTTATTGTCTATCCCATGATTTATTTTTTATCTTTTTAAAAAACATTTCTTTATTGTTAAAAGTATTACATATGTCTCCCTTTTCCCCCCATTAACCTCCTCCAGCCCGCCCCCCTGCCCCAATCCCAGGCCTTCACCGCCCTATTGTCTGTGTCTGTGGGTTATGGATATATGCATACAAGGTCTTTGGTTGATTACCTCCCACTCACCTACTCTCACCCACCTTCCCTCTGAGATTCTGCACTCTGTTCCATGCTTCCATGTCTCTGGATCCACTCCGTACATCAGTTTATTTTGTAACTTAGATTCCACATATGAGTGAGATCATGTGATACTTGTCTTTCTCTGACTGACTTATTTCACTTACGGGAGACTCTCCAGGTCCCTCCATGCTGTCTCAAAGGGTAAGAGATCCTTCTTTTTTACTGCGGCATAGTATTCCATGGTGTAAATGTACCACAGCTTTTTTATCCACTCTTCTACTGATGAGCATTTGGGCTGTTTCCAGATCTTAGCTATTGTAAATTGTGCTGCTATGAACATAGGGGTGCATACATTCTTCCTGATTGGTGTTCCGGGTTTCTAGGATATATTCCTAGAAGTGGGATCACTGGTCAAATGGCAGTTCCATATTGAATTTTTTGAGGAAACTCCATACTCTTTCCATAGTGGCTGCACCAGTCTGCATTCTCACCAGCAGTGCACTAGAGTCCCTTTTCTCCACATCCTAGCCAGCACTTTTCATTTGTTGAAGTTTATCCCATGATTTAGATGTGATGGCAAGTTGTGTATATTTCATTTCAACACATATGTAAAGTACACACAAGTGAGTATGGCTCAATGAATTATTACAAAGTGAAACCCCAGTGAAGAGACAGAATGTTGCCTGCATCCTGGAAACCCCTCTATTGCTCCTCCCAGGACTACCAGCTCTCTCCTCCCCACAAAAAGCATTGTGCTGACTTTCATGGCGTTTTAGTGTTTTATGCGTGTGTTTAGGCCATGGCGTGTCTATAATATTTGGCCTTCTCTTTGCTCCTTTCCTGTTATTTATAACAAAGTTAATAACAACAGTTTCACATCCACTTCCCCTATGGACGTAGGTCGTTTCATTTTTTTTCCTGCACTTTTCATGATTTATGGCATGTGACCTTAAATGCTTAAGCATGCATCCTTAAATGCTCTTTTTGGGGGTGGACTTTGCATAAGTGGAACATTCATATAATACATATTGTTTTGTGTCTGGCTCCATTGCTCAAAATTATGTTCTTGAGATTCAGCCTTAAAGCTGTTGTTCATCCATTTTCCTTGCTTTGTAGTAAAACATTTCATGAACCTATGACAATTTATTTGTTTTGCTCCTTTGCCTTGATTTTTATGTAGGTATAATCTATGTACAGTAAAGTGCAAAACTTTCAAGCATACAGCTTAATGAGACACATTCAGAAGAGATACAGAATTTTTTTGGTAACTTGGACGGCTCTGTCTTGCTGCCTTTCCAGCTAACGCCCACCAATGGGACCGCTATCCTGACCTTTATCACCTAGGGTGCTGCTGCCTGTTTTAACCCTTCACATAAATGAAGTTACGTGTGTGTGTGTGTGTGTGTGTGTGTGTGTGTGTTTAAAATGTATTTTAAAGAATTTTATTAATAGAATCATTAGTTTATTGTTTTTGTTTATACTGTTTAGTCTGTAACATGTATAAGTTATTAAATAGCTTAATTACATTTACATTCTTTTCCCAGTTGAATCTTTTTTTAAAATTTTGTTTTATTGCTTAAAATGTTACAAAGAGTAGTACATATGTCTCCTTTTTTCCCCCCCCCTTGACCTTCCCCCGGCCTCCCCTAACCCCCAGTGTCTTGTGTCCATTGGTTATGCTTATATGCATGCATACAAGTCCTTTGGTTGATCTCTTACCCCGCTTCCGCCTCCCAACCCTCCCAAGCCTTCCCGCTGTAGTTTGACAGTCTGTTCAATGCTGCTCTGCCTCTGTATCTATTTTTGTTCATCAGTTTATAATGATCTTTATTATCCATAAATGAGTGACATCATGTGCTATTTTTCTTTCATTGACTGGCTTATTTCACTTAGCATAATGCTCCCCAGTTCTATCCATGCTGTTGCAAATGGTAAGAATTCCTTCTTTTTTACAGCAGCATACTATTCCATTGTGTAGATGTACCACAGTTTTCTAATCCATTCATCTGTTGATGGGCACTTAGGCTGTTCCCAAATCTTAGCTATGGTAAATTGAGTGTGTGTGTTTTTAATATATTACACCCTCATGACCTGATTAGATCCCAAAGGCCCCACTTCCTAATACTATCACATAGGTGATTAGGATTACAACATATAATTTTTGGGGGACACAGACCTTCAATTGATAATAGTGGTATATACATTTAATGGAATATTATTTTTTAAAAATATATTTGTCTTGATTTCAGAGAGGAACAGACAGGGAGCAAGACAGAAGCATCAATGATGAGAAATAATTATTGATTGGCTGCCTCCTGCACTGGGGATTGAAACCCCACCTCAGGCATGTGACCCAACCAGGAATCAAACTGTGGATGCTTAACCTCTGAGCAACACCGGCCGGGCTAATGGAATAGTATTTAAAAATTTTAAAATAGAACTTTTTGGGGAAGTTTTCAAATGTAAACAGAGAAGTTTCAAGAATAAATATAGTACAAAGAGCATTATTTACCCAGATTTACCTGAACATTTTAGCCCATTTTCAATATCAGTATTTCTCTCTCTCCCTCTCTCTCATCTAGTACTTTATCTGGATCATCTAGGGTAAATCACATACAACATGACCCTTTACCCCTAAATACTCCAGTGTATTTATAAGAACAGAAATGTTCTCATACAGCTGTCATTCAGTTATCAACTTCAGTAAGGTTAACATTGCTAGAATGCTTTCATCTCTACTTTTTGTATTGCAATTTTGTCAAATTGACAACTTTGAAAAGAAACGGCAGTTTTGTTGTTGTCTGAGTGATGCCACAGTCCCGAGGCACTACAGTAGTAGTAGGCAAAGTAGTAGGCAAAGGCCCTGGAACCAGACAGCTGGGGTTTGATCCAACCTCTGCACCCATCGGCAAAGTGACCCCGATCAAGCATGTGACCTCTTTATGCCTCAGCTTCTGCAATAGTAAAATGGGGATACTTTTACTTTAATATATTTTTTAATTTTCTTAATCATCTGAGCATATTTTCCCACGGATTGTTAGAGAGAGTGGAAGGGAGGGAGAGAGACAGAAAGAGAGAAACATTTATGTGAGAGACACACATTGATTGGTTGCCTCCCCCATGTGCCTTGACCAGGGCTGGGGATGGAGCCTGTAACCGAGGTACATTCCCTTGACCAGAACCGAGGAGGCACAACCCTTCAGTCTGAGGGCTGATGCTCTATCCACTGAGCGTACTGGCTAGGGCTATTTTTAAAAAATATATGTTTAAATTGATTTCAGAGAGAGATAGAGATAGAAACATCAATGATGAGAGAGAATAGTTGATCATCTGCCTCGAGCCCATAACCCAGGCATGTGCCCCAACCAGGAATCAAACCATGACCCCCTGGTTCATAGGTTGCCGCTCAACCACTGAGCCACCTGGGCCAGGCAAATGGGGATACTTTTAGAGATACCTAACCGAAAACATTTACAGGTGACTTGATACAATGTCTGGAGTTTGCTTAAAAATAATCCTGATTTTTGGGGGCCGCAGGGAGAGGATTGTTAGTGTTACAGGGAGGAGTGGGGCTTGTCTCCCTAGTTTGCTTGTGGGAGTGAGGTTCTTGCGGTGCTGTGGGAAGAAGCACGTCTGGAGGCCCCATGGGAGCAGAAAGCTTTATTTCTGTGGAGTTACACCCTGAGGTTTCCAAAGCCCCATTTCCCTTAGTCCAGTCATAGAAGAAGTGTAGCTGGGGCTCCAGCAGAGCTGAAATCAGAGCCAGTGTCCAGGTTCCTTTCTATGATGGAGCCGGGTCCGGTCCAGCATCAGGCTAGTTTAGCTTGTGTTTCCCTGCTGTAGTCCATTGTGTGTGGGGTCCACATGGCTGTGGGCCATACAAGGAAGGAGGAGCAAAAGAGCCCCATGAGTCCTAGCCGGTTTGGCTCAGTGGATAGAGCATTAGCCTGCGGACTAAAGGGTCCCAGGTTCGATTACGGGCAAGGGCACATGCCCGGGTTGTGGGCTCAATCCGCCCCCCCCCCGTGGGGGACTGTGCAGGAGGCAGCCAATCAATGATTCTCTCTCATCATTGATGCTTCTATCTCTATCTCTCTGAAATCAATAATAAAAAAAAGAAATTACAATTCCTTCCCAACAAAAAAAAAAAAAGAAGAGCCCCACGAGCCAAGAGTCACGGGGGTGGGGGGTGGGGGAGAGAAAGAGAGAGAGAGAGAACTCTTTTGTTTAGGAGATTATGTATTCCCAAATTTTTGTGTGCTCGCAGTGGCCACGCTCATTCTGGCCAATGATTTCTGTTCCCAGGTGTGACTGACAGACAAGTACCTTCCCTATGTCACCCCAACTGTATTGGACATGCATCTGTCTTTCCTTTGCCCAGTTCCCCTCCCCCAGAGTTTTACAGGGAATAAATAGGCTGGTGGTTCTCTGGGGAGTGCAAAGCTGCAGCTCCCTGTTGAAGTGGCCCAAATGACATGCCTATATGTCTGGCCTTCCCTTTTCTGTAGGTCTGTATTGGGGGCTCAAGAATTTGCCATTTTAACAAGTCCCAAGTGATGCTGAAGCTGCTGATCTGGGGGCTGCACTTAGGCCACCTATTATTAACACCTAGGTAATTACAATGGTATCGTTATACCTATAGATGGAACGAGATTGGCCATGAGTTTGTCATTGTTCAAAATTATATCTACTTTTGTGTATGCTTAAAGTCTTCCACAGTAAAAAAATTTTTTCAAAGACAGGAAAGTAAAATTAAAAAAATGGGGAGGGGTAGAGGCTATTAATTATTAATTACCTGCCTTATAAGGTTGCTAGGAGGAGGGATTAAACAAATTAATTTAAATTAAACCTAAATAAAGCATTTAGAACAGTGCCTGACACATGGGCAATGCTCCGTGTCAGCTATTTTTATTTTGTTCTTTCTAGTCCGGAAGCAGCTCAGACACGTTACCAGTAGGTGGCGCTGTCTCCCAGCTCCATAAAGAGCCTGGCGCAGATGACTATCCCTGGGTTTGAATCCTGTTCTGCTGCTTCCTAGTTGACATTTACTATCTCCGAGCCTTTTTATGCATTTCTAAAATGGGGACAGCAACAGTATCAACTTCTGAGTTGTTAGGATGATTCAGACACAATGATGTAATGATGCAAGGTACCCGGTGCGGTATCTGGTGCATCCCTTTCTGGACACCTGTCTCTCAGGATGCGCCTCTGGGCCAGTGTTCCTCCTCTTTTCTTTGGGGATTCTCTCACCCGCCCAAGTAATGTGAAAACCCGCAGTGGCTACGGACAGGGAGCTTTCTTCCCTAGTGCAGCCTCATCCAAACCTATCACAGGTTAGCCCTCTAGCCACTAGATGGCGAAGTCTTCTTAAGAGACTGAGGACCTATTAGAAATCCCGTTTTCTTGAGATGTGATTAAGATTTTAGGCTATGCTAAAGTGGATAGAGTGTGGGCTCAGTGGATAGAGTGTGGGCCTGGGAACTGAAGGGTTGTGGGTTTGATTCTGGTCAAGGGGCATTTACCTTGGTTTCTTGATTTGTGGGAGATGTCTCACATCGATTTTTTTCTCTTTCACTCTTTTTAAATAAATGAATAAATGAATAAATAAATTAATTAATATTTTAGACTATGTGAATCAGACCCAAGTTAGAATTCCCTTTCTATCACCTATACCCTACATGATCTTATCGGTCTGTCTGTTTCCTCTTTTATAAAATGAGCGACTCTCTATAAAATACACCTATCACAAGAGTATCATGAGGATTCAATATGCTATTGTAGGTAAAGCCTTTAATACCAGACTTAAACAAATAGCAACTCCCATCAACATTAAACTATTAAGATGACTAAGTAAATATTTTAATGGCTTATTGTGTGTCAGGCACATAATAACCCTGTGAATTCCCATAGGAACACCATGAGATGGATATAGTAGTGATCCCCATATTTATAGGAGAGAGGACTGAGGCTCAGAGAAGAGAAGTGACTTGTTGAAAGTCACACAGCTGGAACATGGCAACTTGGGGATTTAAATCCAGGCAGCCTGTCTTCAGAATCTATACCACTATTATGCTAGACTGGACTTCCTCACCCTCTTAAACCATGTTGCATGCCCAGACTTCAAGTTTCTTCTGGGCTGAAGTCTTTGAACAGTCAGAAGACTTCCATCCTGGCCTCCTCTTGGACAGAAAGGGATGATTCAAGAAGGACAAAGTGCTTCCTGCGCTTTGACCATGAAGATCAGGACAACACTGTAGGGTAGTGGTCCTCTATCTTGAGTGTCCATCTAATTACCTGGGAGCCTTGTCGAAACACAGATTGCTGGGCTCAACCCCAGAGTTCCTAATCTAGTAGGTCTGTATTGGGGGCCCAAGAATTTGCCATTTTAACAAGTCCCAAGTGATGCTGAAGCTGCTGATCTGGGGGCTGCACTTAGGCCACCACTGAACTATGCATGGCAGAGTAACAAGATTTTTTTTTTTTTTAAGTTGGCTATATTTTATTTAGGTTGAAAACATTGCAACCACAACAAAACAAGTTCTGATAGAAAGAAAGGAAGACCAAGTAATGGGTGGATTCCTAATATTATTTCATATACATATAAACATATTCAGAGTAACAAGATTAAAGGAAGCTGGGCCCCTGATTGACTACATGGAGAAGATCAACCTTCTCTTTTATTTAAGCCACTGTGTTTTTGGATTTGTAGGTTATAGCAAGTTGGCCTTTACATTAATTAATACAGAAATTCCCAGGTTTTCTTCCTGGAAATGCCCCTGATGGGCCGGCTGTTCACTGCGCACAGAGTGAACAGCCACTGTAACCTTGCTCACACTTTGCCTGGTAAGTCATGTACCTTGGTGCAAGGCTGCATCCAACCACAGGAAAGCACTTTCAAAGCAAGTGATACTCATCAAGTTTTGCACACTGAGGAATGCGTCTGCCCAGAAGAGATCCTTTGTCTAATTCATCCCTCTAGAGGGGGTGCCTTTTTCTGATCACAAAAGGCACCTGACTGGCCCTGAGTTCAGATTCAAAACCAAGAGTTGTCGAGGCTTTTGGTGTTATAGACAACCTTCATGGAATTTCTAAGAACTGAAGCATCTTCCTAATGTGGGCTTAATTTAAGGGAGTTGTCTAAATAGACCCCGAGTCTAGTCTGTGGTTGACTGAGCCAATTGTGAGACCCCGGGAGCCAGAAGTAAAGCAGCACAATCCCAGAAGGGAAATCTTCTTCCAAACCCCCTTCAGGTTGGGCAAGGAGGATACAGTGCAGGAGTAACTTTCAGAGATGAGGATCAGCAGCAGCCATGTGGGTTGTCAAAGGGAGTCACTCCAACCTGCTGGCAGCTAGAATGCTTTCAGCTGCAAGTAGCAGAATAGTTGGGGAAGGCAGCCTCATGTGTGCGGTCTTCCAAACCCCGCTTGGCTGCATTAGAATGGACCTTGGGCCTGGAACACTTCTTACCAAGAGATCAGGAGCCCCCACAGCCTGTGCTGGGCT